TTTGGACTTTGGTCTCCTTTTGTTGTCTTATTGCTCTAGCTATAATTTCAAGAACTATGTTGAATAGGTATGGGGAGAGTGAGCAGCCTTGTCTTGTTCTTGATTTTAGTGGAATTGCTTTGAGTTTCTCTCCATTTAATTTGATGTTAGCTGTCAACTTTCTATATGTTGCTTTTATTATGTTTAAATATGTACTTTGTATTATGAAGGGGTGCTGAATTTTGTCAGCATCTAATGAGATGATTATATGTTTCTTATCTTTCAGTTTATTTATATGGTGGATTGTATTGACAGATTCTTGTATGTTTAACCATCCTTGCATCTCTGAGATGAAGCTGACTTGATTTTGGTGGCTGATTTTTTTTATGTGTTCTTGGATTCGGTTTGCCAGTATTTTATTGAGTATTTTTTGCATCAATGTTAATGAGAAAGATTGGTCTGTAATTCTCTTTCTTGATTCAGTCTTTGTGTGTTTTCAGTATCAGGTAGCCTCATTTAGTGATGTTCTTTCTGTTTCTATTATGCAGAACAATTTTAGGAGTAAGGTATTAGCTCTTCTTTGAAGTTCTGTTAGAATTCTACATTAAAACCATCTGGGCCTGGGTTTATGTTTTTTTTTTTTTTGGAGGCTTTTGATGAGAGCTTTTATTTCCTTACAGGTTATAGTTCTATTTAAATAGTTCACTTAGTCTTGATTTAATTTTGGTATGTGGTATTTATCCAGAAAACTGTCCATTTCTTTGACATTTTCCAATTTTGTGGAGTACAGTTTTTTTTTTGTAGTATGACCTAATGATTCTCTGGATTTCCTCGGTGTCTGGAGGTATGCCCCCCTTTTTATTTCAGATTTTGTTAATTTTGGTGTTTTCTCTTTGTCTTTTAATTAGTTTGGATAAGGGTTTGTCTGTTTTGTTGATTTTCTCACAGAACCAGCTCTTTGTTTCACTGATTTTCTGTATCGTTTTATTTGTTTCTATTTTATTGTTTTTTTTTTAGCCCTTAATTTGATTATTCCTTATCATTTACTTCTCCTGGGTGAGTCTTCTTTGTTGTTGTTGTTGTTCTAGAGCTTTCAGATGTGCTGCTAAGTTCTTAGTGTGAGATTTCTCCACTTTCTTTATGCTATTTCATTTTGTGCTATGAACTTTCTTGTTAGCAATGCTTCCACGGTGTCCCATAGGTTTTGTATGTTCTGCATTCATTTTCACTGATTTCTTGAAAGTCTTTAGTTTCTTTCTTTCTTGACCCAGGTGTGATTAAATTGGGCACTATTCAATTTCCATGAGTTTGTAGGCTTTCTGCAATTAGTGTTTTGTTGAATTCTAAATTTAAATCATAGTGATTCAATAAGATACAGGGGGTTATTCCAATTTTTTTTGTATCTGTTGAGGTTTGCTTTCTTACTGAGTGTGAGTTAATAGTTATGTACAGCTATTATACTGTCATAGACTCTTGATCAATTGACCCCTTTGTCAGCATATTATGACCTTCTTTGTCTCTTGTGCTCCTGTGAGTTTGTCAGCTAAAGTCTGTTTCATCACCTTCAAGTTTAGTCTGTTACCTTGGTTACAGTTTGCATCACACCCCCTGCCCAATTACTTCACTTTTAATCTATTTGTGTTCTTAAAGCTGAAACAAGTCTCTTTGAGGATGTATAGTTAATAGTTAACCCACTCTTAACATTACTTCACTTGCCTTTAATTCTTTGTTGCTCTTTTACAGTTTCTTACGGTATATTATCTTCATATTCTTCTCCCCTATTATTTCCTCTTATTTCTCCATACATTCCCATTGGCCCCTTTCTGCTTCCCAGCTGGTCCTGTTCCAACTTTTACATCCATCTTTAGCTCTTGAGATATGGTTTCCTTTAGAACATCTTGGTGGAATTTGAATAACTGTATAAAATTTTAAATCTCTCTATCACATCATTGCTTACAAAAAAAGTCTAGGGCTGAGTTTTCATTTCAATAGAATTTGCTACCCATTAACACAGCAACAGTAATATTGATTGACTCAGAAGGCACGTGGCATCCAAGGCATCCTTATTCACACTCAGTGCTCTCTACTTCCAAAACCAGAGTTAATAATAATAGTAAAAATCACTTCATTTTTTTCTTTGGAAATTGACTTTTCTCTGCATGAAAGATGAAAATGTCTCCTAGGTGGGCGGTGATATTAAAGGTAAGGCATGTAGACGTAGTCAAAATTTATCTTGGCGATGAGAAGAAAGAAAGGTCTCTGTCATTTCAACCTTAGGAAAGACAAGTATTTATGTATTTTTGTGGGTAAGGTATACCTGACACATGACCTTAGTGACTTTTATTTTTACATAGTTTAAGGGGGACGTTAAAATAAGGAGATAATTCTTCATAAGGATTTATAAATGACTATGAAAAAGAAGGCTTATTACCCGGAATTTGTCTGTTATTTAGCATGAAGGAGAATAGCGTGAATATACATGTCTATGACATGCAGGCTGACTACTGATACCAATGCCGAGATGCCAAGACCACTCTCCAGAGTATAGCATCATTTTCTGGTTCAAGGTTTGAGTTCTATAACCACGAGATTTTATCTGGGTGTCTTAGTTAGGCTTTCTATACTGTAAAGAGACACCATAATCATGGTAACTCTTATAAAGGAAAATAATTGGGGTTGGCTTAAGGGTTAGAGGGCTAGTCTTTTATCGTCATGGCAGGAAGCATGGCAGTGTGCAGGCAGACAAGGTGCTGGAGGAGCTGAGAGTTCCACATATGGATCTGAAGGCAGCATGAAGAGACAGAGACACTTGTCTGGGCTTGAACATTTAAAACTCCAAAGCCCAACCTCAGTGACACACTTCCCCCCTGCAAAGCCACACATACTCCATCAAGTCTCATTGCCTAAGGCCTATCAAGTAGTGTCACTACCTAATGAAAAACATTCAAACCTATAAGCCGATTGCGGCTGTCTTTTTGAAGCCAAGCACACTGGGTGAAATTTTATCTGTATCTTTCTGTATCTATTTTTGGGGAATATTATATTAAGGTGTGTTGCTTTTGTTTAGGCTGCATTTGTTTAAACTCATTGAAGCTGTGACTCTTTGCCTGGCTAAAATACGTGATGGTCCTAAAGAAGAACTAAATGGCCAATAGCAAGGCAGGAGCAAAGATAGGTGGCCCTGGCAGACAGTATAAACAGAGAGAATAAATAGCAGGAGAAGTGAGAAGGAGAAGCAAGAGAACAAAGAGAAGAAGATGTCAGGGGACTGTCACCCTGTCACCCAGTCAGCCATGGAGTAAGAAGGAAAGTAAGACATAAAGTAAGAAAAGGAAAAGTTCAGGGGCAAAAGGTAGTTGGGATAATGAAAGTTAAGAAAAGCTGACTAGCAACAAGCTGAGCAAAGGCCAGTCATGAGAATAACCTTTTAGGGATAAGCCTGCCCATTGGGGGCAGGCTCGCCTTGGGGAATGTTTACTGATAAATTGGGTGCACAAAAGCTGTGCTTCCCTTCCTTCTTCTTGTACTTTGCTGGAACCTTGGTTTCCTGAGTCTTGTTTTCATTAAAGTTGTGCAAATACCTACACTATTGTCTACATTAATCTAAGCCGCCGTTTCATAACCTTGTGTGTGTTTATTGGGTGCTGGGTGGTAGGCCCCTCAAATAGACAAAAAATAAAACATCAATCAAAAATATGTAACTGTATCTGTATTTATGTAGCACTCTCTCTCCTCTCTCTCTCTATATATATGTATATATATATACATATATACATATATATATATATATATATACTAGTTTAGCCAGTGATATAGAATTCAGAAAGGTGTTGAGAGAAAGAGGAGAGTAGGGGTGTGTATCTCCACACCTCAGAGTGGAATGATTGCAAAATATCTTGATAAGGCATAACCTTTTTTGGCAGGAAAAAGCGGAAGAAAATTACAGTTTCCTTTTTACAAATGTTCTGCTAGGATACAAGATATTCTGACTCTTAGTGAATATTTTCACCAGGAGAGTCAATGGGGTTTTCACTCCATTGCCTTCTCCACCTCTTAATGCTTCCTGTCTGCACACAAGAATCAGGTAAGTCTTGATTTCCTTTTGTAGATGTTAGGTGGAATTTAATGGCAAAACCACCAGGTTATAGGCCATTTATTTTATCCTAGTAAAAGTTAAAGAGGGATCTATGCTTGGTTCTATTAATCATGCACACATATAAACACAGAGCTGGCAAATCATTTAATGTGAGAATAGTTGAAACAATGACTACAGAAAATTGGAGAAAGGGGAGAATGATGGCAAGCATGCAGCTTCTGAGGTATGTGCACCATGCTCAAACAAGATAGTCCCTATGCCTGATTTATGCACATATAAAGGTGGCAGACCAGCTAGCTGCAGAGGATCTCCTCACAAAGTCTGTTTGTTGCTGTTTTTGTAATTTTGCCCATGTTCACAGTCAAACAACATACATACCATTTAATTTTGAGGTTGAGCTGTTTTAAATCTTTTCTTGGTAATTAAGAGCTTTTATTATGTGGGCAAGCCTATATAAAATTTGCTTTATGGATTTGTCTATCATTACAAACTGACCTAATTTAATCATTCAACAAATATTGTCTTGCTATTCTCTGATCATTATAAATGAGTAAGTTAACAGCATCTAATCCATCAGTTTTCTTCACAAGGTAATAGCTAGTGTCCTTAAGAATTCAGATGAAGGGTCTAGAGAGGTGGCTCGGTAGTTAGTAGCTCACAGTACTCTATTGGAGGTCCCAGGTTCTCTTCCAAGCACCTACTTTAGGAGGTTCACAACTGCTTGTACATCTAGTTCCAGGGGATCCAAAGACTTCCTCTGTCCTCTGTAAACACTCAAGGGCACATACCCTGTGCCACAAGCATAATTAAAGAACTAGAATAAATCTTTAAAAAATAGTTGAGGAAACCAAAAACATGTTAAATTCACCACGTTCATGTCGAAAAATATTTGAAAAGAAAAGTTTCTCATAACTTGATCGTGGAAATGGAACGAATGAGAGGAAAACGTATGACATCATATGAGTTCTGTGGATCGAGCTGTGGTGGTGTTTTTAGCCTTCATATTTAGATAAAGCACACATTTGGGAAAGTAGATAGTACTCCATAGCAGTGTTCAGACTCTTAACTCTTATGCTCCACATCTTCACATTATGGGTTTATTTTATCTGTTGTTGGCTTAAAAAATATACAAGACCACTTAGCATCAATTCAGTTGTTTCTGGTTTCTTTATATATTGGTAGAATTTCTTAACATTTTTAGAGGAAATGTATTTATTGAATCTCATTGTTGAATGAATTCCTTTGTGTAGTACTATAACTTAAAAAAAGAATATTTATTTCTTTTATGTATATGAGTGCTCATGCCAGAAGAAGGCATCAGACCCCACTATAAATGGTATTGAGACATGAGAACCATGTGGCTGTTGGTGAATAGAACTCAGGACCTTTGGAAAAGCAGCCAGTGTTCTTAACCATTGAACCTTCTCTCTATCTAAACTTTTGTTTTGTTTTGTTTTTGTTTTTCAAGACAGGGTTTCTCTGTGTAGCCCCTGCTGTTCTGGAACTCACTCTGTAGACCAGAGTGGCCTCAAACTCAGAGAGATCCACCTGCCTCTGCCTCCCAAGTGCTGGGGTTAAGTGTGTGTATCACTACACCCAGCCCAACTTTGGCTTTTTTAACATACTATTTTTGTTAATTGTAATTTTTTTAAATTTATTTATTTATTAAAGATTTCTGCCTCTTCCCCACCACTGCCTATTCTTTCCCTCCCCCTCCCCCAATCGAGTCCCCCTCCCTCGTCAGCCCAAAGAGCAATCAGGGTTCCCTGCCCTGTGGGAAGTCCAAGGACCACCCACCTCCATCCAGGTCTAGTAAGGTGAGCATCCAAACTGTCTAGGCTCCCACAAAGCCAGTACGTGCAGTAGAATCAAAAACCCATTGTCATTGTTCTTGAGTTCTCAGTAGTCCTCATTGTCAGCTATGTTCAGCGAGTCTGGTTTTATCCCATGCTTTTTCAGACCAGGGCCAGCTGGCCTTGGTGAGTTTCCGATAGAACATCCCCATTGTCTCATTGTATGGGTGCACCCCTCGCGGTCCTGAGTTCCTTGCTAGTGCTCTCTCTCCTTCTGCTCCTGATTTGGACCTTGAGATTTCAGTCCGGTGCTCCAACGTGGGTCTCTGTCTCTGTCTCCTTTCCTCGCCTGATGAAGGTTAATATTCAGGAGGATGCTTACATGTTTTTCTTTGGGTTCACCTTCTTATTTGCTTTTGTTGTGATAATTGTTACGTGGTAACACTTCCAAAGTTTTACTGGGTTTAAATATGAAAAAAAAAAAAAAACTTTTCATCAGACTCCAGAAGTTTTGGTCCAGCACTAGTTTGCTAAAGTCAAGCTGAATCCAGGTTTCAGTCTTACCTCACCCAAATCATTGCCCTGCCCACTGTGACCCTTGCCACTCTTCCTCTTATGCTGCTCAGATCCACCCTCTTCTCCCCACTGCAACTTCATGGCCTTTAAAAAAGTTAGCTGACTAAGTCTAATTTCTTCTGGTCTTATATCCATGAGTATGGGTCTATCCTATGTTGTATGGCATGAAATATATTCCTCATTTGCAATTAGGTTTTGATCATAAAAATCTTGTTCGCGTTTTTGGAGAATACATGTATTAGCTTCTATTAGGTGTATATTAGGGGTAGACTTGCTGCTTGTAGGGTATGCTTATAGTCAGTGATAAGATAACCCCAAGGGTTGCCACTGAGTACCCAACAGAATTTACACTTCCTTCGGCAGTGTGGGTGAGGTGTATTGTTTCTGCAAATTCTCAATAAAACTTGACATTGCTTGTCTTTCATTTTAGACAACTGGCACATATGTAGTCCTCAGAGTAGCCTGCATTTCCTTGATGACAAAATTGAGCAATTTAAGTACATGAACTATCCATCAAGGTGTTGAATAATTCATAACCTAGGGTACATATGTACATATATGTATAATTATGATACAAGTTTAGCACATATATATGTAAGCAAAGTCATATATATAACTTTGCTTAGCATATAATACATATATGTATTAAGAAAAGTGTTTTATATATAAATACATCTTATATGTATTTATGTATATATATTTATTTTCTTAATTTTTACCCTTAATAGTTATTTATTAGGTAATATGTGCTAGAATTAATTTTAGAAATTAGATATTCAATGTTGAGGAACAACTGTAGTTCTCTCTCTCTCTCTCTCTCTCTCTCTCTCTCTCTCTCAGTTCTGAGGATCAAATATAAGGCCTTGCCTATGCCAGGCAAGCATTCTCCTACTGAAACTGTACATAGGTTATGGCTCCACACTTTTTCCTTTTCATTGAGACACAGTTTCTCTTTGTATCATAGGTTGCTCTTGAATGCACGATCTCTTCCTCAGTCTGGAGTGTGTCATTTTCTGTTGTGCAGAAGAGGCAGATAGAATGGTAATCATAAAGCCAAGTGCTCTTAGGAACGCTGGGGTAGAATGGATGTATATTTCCCTTAACACTGGACCTCGTTTTCAGTGTATTCACAGGAAATAAAGCATAAGAATTATGAAACAGCTGTACTGGGAAGAAACGTGACCATCTTCTGCAATTTGACAAGTCTGAAAAATGTTCTGCAAGTCACCTGGCAGAAAATTGAAGGCTCTTTGCCACAAAATATTGGCACTTACAGCCATAAATATGGAGAACATATTATCCCACCATATGTGAACAGGCTGCATTGCAAGATCCTGGAACCCAATGCCTCCTTCATAACCATTCAAAAAGTGACATTTGAAGATGAAGCCTGCTACAAGTGTCTGTTTAATTCCTTTCCACATGGCAGCCATGGAGGACAAACCTGCCTTAACGTCCTAAGTATATAACCCTTTCTCTAGGGTCCTATTATGGGGGCAGACATCATGGAGTTATAGTGTTTAAGGGCATGGTCCAGAGAAAGGAAGTTAGATGGTGAAAAAATTGACATTGATGAGTCCAAGTGACTTAGACAGGAGAAAATCATGGAGGCCAATGAGTCGGTGAGCTGAGGCAGGACCTTCTACCACCCCACACCGGTTCTTCACAGTATACTGCACTGGCTTCAGTGAAGTGGAGAAAACCAGAAGAGCATCAGAGTTTTGTTACTAAGGCAAGGAGAAAGTAGGGTAAAGGAAAGAGACAGCAGATAAGATCAAGGAAAGGGGAAGGCTAAGGGAATTAGGGTTCCCCAGTCCTCAAATAAGCAATTTATCCCAGGACTAGTGAGAACACAGGAGTTCTTTATTGTGCTGCTGTAAGCGTGAAATACTGGGGGTGTGTATAATATAATTTATAATTGCATAGAAGTTAAGACAGCAGTCAGTAAACAGAGCAAAAGGTATTGAAAGTTTTATGGTATGTGACGGGTGCTACCTAAGAGGAATGTTTTCAGCATTTATTTGTCATATAAAAATTGGGGGAGGGAGCCATTCATTAACAGCATACCAAAATTGATTGTATTAACTTCATTTCTCTCTCTTTGCCTCAGTTGTTCCTGAATTAATAACTGAACTCCATCCTGTTCCTGGCTCTGAAGATCTCCTTAACCTTCATTGTTCAGGGGTGGGAAAGCCTGCTCCTGGAATCTCCATTTACCCTTCAGAAGCACTAGTGCTCACGCAGGAAGAGCACTTTACTAAGAACCCAAATAGCACAGTGACCACCACTAAAATATACAACATCTCTTTGAAAGCTGTTAGGTCCTTGGGCCTCCAGCACCTGGTTGTGTCCATGACTCACCCCCTAGGATATGAAGAGAAGATAGTTCCTCTGCCAGTAAAGCAAGAGGGTAAGTAGAAGGGACAGCAAATCGGGGGGGGGGGGAGGAGTTGGAACTGGGGAAACAGCTTAGTCTGTAGAATGCTTGCCATGAGAGCATGAAAACCCAAGTTTGAACCCCAGCACCCGCATAAAAAGCCAGGTACAGGTGTGTCCTTGTGATCCCAGAGCTGGGGAAGTGAGGAAAGGCATCCCTGGGCTCACTGGCCAGTCAGCCTGGATTAATCAGTGATCCTTGGGTCCCAGTGAAAGTCTCTTAGAAGAATGAAATAAAACTAACAAAATCACAAGCTAGACAGCCCCTCTGATTGATCCCGGGATTCCAGTACATACATTCCCACACAGATACATTCAAATGCACAAAGAAGCTCAGACATTTACACACACGTACACATACAAGCATGTACTTACACATGCAGAAGCATGCACACACATAGACACACAAGAGAGGATGAGAGAGTAGACATATTTATCTTTTTAAAAATCCATAATGAAAAATATTCATGTTAATCAGCTGTTTTTGAAGAAGTAATCCAATATAATGCATATATATGATTAAGAACTCAAGCAATGAAGCTGGGCATAGTAGCATGCACCTTTAATCCCAACTCGTAGGAGGTGGAAGCATGAGGATCTTTGTGAGTTCATCGCCAGCCTGGTCTACATAAGGAGTTCTGGGACAACCACGGCTATATAGTGAGAGCCTGTCTCTGAATGAAACGAGCAGTGGGATGCTTTACAGCAAACTCTTCCCTTACTTAATTGCTTGCACTCATCATCTCTGATGACTCTACTCTGAGTGAGCCACAGGGAGTGTCCTTAAAAATACACTGGACCTGATACAGCCTCTAAAGTCTTTGCTGTTTGAGGTGTGGCCATGAATTCAGACTTTCTAAGAACAGGATGTTGCCTTTCCCACCCACCCTGTGACTAGCTGGAAAGAGGCACAGAAATTCATGAAGTTTAATATTACAAATCTGCACGACTTTAACCCCAAAAGCCTAGAAGAAATGCAAAATAAATAGTTGATATCAAGAGTTAATGGGAACAGTCTAGGAACAGGAAATTCAGTAGAATCATAGATGCCCACGGGTCTCTCATGGATGTGCCAACAACATAAGAAGTTGAGAGGAGAAGGACGCGAGAGCAGGGGATGAACAGCGCCAGCCTTATAGACCAAGTTACGGTGACACACACCTTTAATTCCAGTAGCCACAATGACATGCACCTTTAATTCCGGTAACTCCACTAGCTTACCATAGAAACCAGGTTGCAGTGGCGTATGCCTTTAATGGCAGACTAGAGAGGAATATAAGACAAGGGGAGACAGCTCTCAAAACACAGTCTCATTCTGAGTTTCATGGATGCAGGATCGTCACTTCAGACTGAGGTTGAGGTAAGAGTCAGTGGCTGGCTGTTTTGCTTTTCGGATCTTCAGGTTGAACCCCAATTTCTGACTCTGAGTTTTTATTAATTGTGCTTCATTTAATCATGCTTCACTAGGTCCTATGAACTCTCTATGATTTGGGAAATCTTTAATATTTTAAAAGAATTGTTGAAAGTAATTTATTCAGGTTTTCTGAATAGTTAGTTGCAAAGGGAAGCTTGGACCCAGACTAACTAGGTGAACTCTTGAACTCAAGCCATCTCTTATTAGTCACTTTCAAAAACCCCACTTTTATTATTTTACAACATTTTTTTAATCCCACATCAATCCTTTTATTATTTTACAGCTTTCCTTTGCACAGTCTTGTCTACCTGGTCTTTATAACTCCTTTCTTCAGTTACTGAGCTTTGAACCTCCATTCCCAGCAGAACAAAAGTGTCGTTTTCGATCTTCCTCAGAGCCCTAGATAAAGTGGTGCAGTTCCTGGGTTTCCAATGAACTGTTTCTGTCACTTCCTCCTGTAGAGTCTAGAAATGTTGTTCATATTCTATAAAGCTCGGCTCCATTTCCATAATCCTCTCTTGTCCCGGTAAATACTAGGAGCACGCTATGGAAGCAGAGTTACTACTGTAAGTGACTTGTTTTCATATCTCATTCTCATAGAATCTCAAATCATTCTCTCCTAAAAGTTTATGCATTCATCTCCTCTTATTCATTTCATATTTCACAGCCAATAGAATATTTTGTTTCTACCAATATTACCACTGGCTTCAGGCTAGTTTTAATGTGTCTCAACCCTCACAAGCCTTGTTCAATTAGTTTGTTTCTTGTTGGCACTAATTAGCAACACTGCCATCACAGTGAGTGGCATTATCCCAATGGTTAATCCCAGATATAGTGATGGAAGTCAACCACTACGGGCTTTTCGATGGTTCTATCTGTTAACATTCTTGAGGGAATCGTTTTATTGATTATAATTATTAATTATAACTTTTACTATGGGAAATGTAGAAGATAAACCTAGCATAAAAACAGAATAACATTTGAACATATCAGGGGTAGCCTAAAGAAATCTCCAGTCACAAAACTTTTACCAAAGAAAGGGTTATCCTAATATTTCAACAGTCAAGAGTATTAACTCATTTCTCTCTCAGATTCTCAACTCCAAACTGTCTAAACTGGAAGGGAATTTGTACTTTCTTTCTAGTTCCCTCCCAACTGTTTTACTTTGATTAATGGCAAAATACATTGCCTAGCACCTGAGAATTCTTGAACCAGTCAACCAGCCTCCACTATTCTCTGATGTCAAGTAAAGTCTTCCTTCTAGCTTCAACAGGGGATGCAAGATAACAGTGAATCTTTCACATTGTAGGGAAAGGTCTAATTATTTTTGTTCCATGGCTCAGAGAGTTGGTGACCATCTTGCCACAAGCAAACAAATTATTTGAAATAATAAATACCTGTATGAAATAAAGCAGTCCTGAATTGTCACACAGCCTGTAGGTTTTCATTAACTCTATGCTATCTAAAGGTCACCAACTTTTCATTTGAGTTTTGTAGACCAAAGCATGCTACATGGCATACCTTGATTTGATTTCAGATTCATGGATGCAGTACAGGCTTCAGAGAGCTAAGGAAACAGTCATCCATCCTAGTGAAACCTTCCCCTGCCTAAGGCCCTTACAACACACTTGTCAGAGAGTGGAATGTGCTGGAGAAATTCTCTTCTCCCTGCTTCTCCTGGGTAATATCCTAGAATCTGAAAGACACAGGTATGAAGAACCTGGGGTCTTTGTGTCTATTGAATTTCAGATGCCAACCTATGGGGACACAGTTGGGACAAAACTCAGTTTGAAGTATAATCATAGGACATAGAAAGAGGTTTTCTACCAAATCTACAAAAATGGGATCCTAAGTATTCTGCAAGAGAAAAAAGGACTTAGAAGACTACATCAACCACCCAGTTAATACTATTTACACAGTAAGTGTTTGAGAGAGGTGGAACAGTTCTCCACAAATCTTAAAATAAATATCAAAGACTATAGTTTCTTTCTTCTAAGTGTACATTGACAAGGCAAGCAGTTTACTGCAAACCCAGAATAGGAAGTTCTGTGCATTTCTCTTTCCATCCGTGCTGTACATCGGTACAAAGTTTATGAGTTTTTTAGGCTCTCACTTGGTAACACAGGGTACAGTAAACCTCTGGTATCAGTCTTGTTCCTGCTCCTGTATACTGACAGTGTTCATAGAATTCCTGAAATGAGAATGAAGTGAGACCCCGAAATGGGATAATTTGGTAAGAAGATCTATTCTGTGTTTTCCCACTCTTAAGATATAATGACTGACATTTTGTTTTAGGGCTAGTGGGAAGGATCCAATTTTTCCAGAATTTTGTCACATTAACCCACGCACCAAGGAGAATCACTAATCATCAGTAAATTCTGAATGTTTTCTCAACTCGTGGAGAATTTCCTCCTGTTAACTGATTTGTTTTGTGAACCTCTCATTAAAAGTACATTAAAGCATCTGGGGGTGGCTTTCACTTCATTTTAAAATCCATGACTTCTTCTTTTATTCATATTATCTGGCAGATTGTATAAACATCTTCTTCAAGTTCTTTTAAGGAACTTTTCTATCTTTTGAGAGGCAAGTTTTTAATTAAAAATTTCTTTTTCAACTTTAAATGAAAATTATTTATTTTTTTATTAGGTTATATCTCTGGCAATTTCATACACTGATTCCTTTCTTCTTTTCCTCTTCCTTATCTCCCTCTTGCTCCTCTCACCCCAGCCTCACATCCCTTTTCCCCACACCCACTCTCCTAGGCTCATGACTTTTGGTCTTTCCTTGGTCCACTTAGTTTAGTCAGGGCTGTCAATGGCAATATCCACTGGAGACTATGGGGTCACTAAGGGATGGATACACAACGAAAGCAAAATTTTGCACTTTCCCTGAATATAACAGTAGGAAATAGTTCAAGATTGCAGAGTGGAGAATTCTGAGCTTCTCCTCCACCCAGGCTTGGCAGTGGCTGGGCTAGAAGTGTTTTTCTTTCCAAGGACGTTTCCTCATTACCCATTTTAAGGAAGTTATATATTCTCAAGTGTATCTAGAAATAATAGCTTGAAACTTCTCTTTCACTAATTGTCTTTGTCCTTCCCCTTCAGAGCTCATGCTTCTGTCGTGTTACATGTTTGCTAAGTCCGTTTCCTCACCAGATTTTGTCACTGAAGGTCATGTGAATATTCTTGCTCTTTTCGTTTGGCGATTTTTAATTTAATGATATTTTTAAGGAGTCTCAAAAATATTAGAGATAAGTATTTGTGTTCTGTTTATTTTTTGAAACAGAAGTTGGCCACCTCATTTTCCAGATTAATTTTCCCAAGTCATAAAACTGGATTATAAATTAAATACCATAAGCATTTTCTATAAATATATTGGCTGTGTTCATATGGTTAATTTAATTCTTTATTAAAAATGCAACTGTTAATAAGAAGTAATGTATCAATTCAAGGTTCTGCCTTACTTAATTTTATGTTAAATACTGGGGATGTGAATTCCCGATTCTGGTGAGTTTTCATGTGTTGTTTTTCTGCGTTGTTAGAATTGCCTTCAGAGAAGATGTCATATTTCAATGCAAAGTTCTTCATGTTCAATCTCTTTCACCTACCCCAAATGTAGTATGTCACTGAAAAGGAACTGTAAAAACTCAATAAAACCACATCAGTGCCAAAGTGTCTCGCTTAAAGACATGCACTTCCCTAATTATATTCAAGGAAAGAAGGAACTGCTCTATAAGAGTTTACCTTTCTTTCTATGGTAATTAGAAAACATCTTATAGAGTAAATTTTAATGTTAATTATGCAAACCCAGAAAACATTACAAGTAAGTTAAAGGCTCCAAGATGACAGTACAGTGTAACCAAAGAAATACCATGCTCTGGTCTGTGTTTTTCAGGTACCGTGGATCATTTCAGGATAACTGCAATTATATTCATCATTTTATTTCTCATTTCATGTATCATCAGTGCTTTTTTCTATATTTACTTTAAAAAGAAAAGGTAAGCTGTAGGATAACCTGTTGTGACAGAGACACTGGATACAGTGGAGATACTGTTTTTAAAAATTTCCAGGGGTTCTGGAAAAATCCGTCATGCATAGAGTAGTGAAAGAAAACTCATCCACATCCTTGACAATTTCTGAAATTGATTGGTTATACAAGAAGGCCATGGACAAGCATTTATGTTTATGGTGAATTGAGTGTAATATTCTTTTTTATTTTTTTAGAAGGAAAAATTATTCATTATTATTTTATGTGTATGTGAGTTTTGCCAGTGTGTGTCTGTACTCTACAAGTGTGTGTCTGGTGCCTGTGGAGGCCAGGAGAGAGTTCTAAAGCTTGAACTGGTTGCTGGCAGTTGAAACTGGTTGCTGAGAGCTGAAGCCTTTACTGCTGAGTCAACTCTTTAGCCCCATGTTTAAGACTCTTTATTGAGAACAGACTTTCACGGGAGACAGCAGAGGATTCAGGACAGTAGGTGCGAGGGAGTGTCTGAGTGTCAAAACAAGGCTTAGAAGGAAAGCCTGGCATATGTGCCCCTGAGGTAGAGGGTGAAGCTGAGATCTTATCTTATAGGTTAATATAATAAAATGCCCACCCGTAGACAGCTCCCCTGGTGGACAGAGGTATATGATGGGGAGGAGATCAATGGAAATAGGAAAATCCTAGCCCGTGGCAGCAGGAACTATAGTCATAATTGGTAGCGTGTGATTTGTCTCGCAGTTACTATATATTCTTTAAATTAAAAAAAAGTGGTGGGGTTTTTATTCTGCTCCATCTTGATCCAGGGAAATATATAAACCAAGGAAGTGTGAGAATTTGATCTATAATCTAGAAGGCTCTCTCACTGGGATGTGGAAAAGGTGCCTTACAGGACAAGAACGAAGGAGCATTTTGAAGAGACGGCTCCAGTAGTCAGGAGACAGATGGAAACTGTGTAGACCAAAGAGGTAGAAAAGAGGAGGAGGGGTTAAGGTTCTACTCAGGATGGGAAGGCTTCCTGGGGGACAGGAATGGAGAATGCATGAGAGGAAAGAATTATCTTACCCAAAGTAAGTGTTTTAGCAGTAAAGAGAACTTTCACAAATATGTACAGAGGGAGAGCAAGCTTTGGAGGGAGGATTAAGAATTCTGCTCTAATGTTGTCATTTTTAAATGCCTATTTTATACTTGAGGGAGTATGTTAATTAAGTGTCAACAGTATGAATCTAGGATTTGTGGAGCAGACGATAAGTTTAGAATAAAGATGATATGATCTCCATGGAGATAGTAGATCACAAACTATTGCTTCAAACTTTAATGTAAAAACAATAGGCCGGTTCTAGTATTTTGGTGAACTGCTCAAGAGAATTTGTGTAGCTATCTATCAAATTTTACTTAATAGCCTGTTCTTATAATGTGCTGTCATGGGAAGGAGTGTTTGGTCAATATTTACTTGATTTCTGTAACATTGTCACGGTATCTCTAGGTCAGAGAACACGCCTGTCTCATTATCGACACTGCGGCCCGGACCATCATCAACAGAACCTGAGGGCCTAATGGGCCGCCACCATCAGCCAGGCATAAATGGTATTGTGCATTTATGTTTTCTGTCCCTGAATAGCATTTAAGTTTAAGACAAAGCATTCTAAATTAAAGCTTGCACGGGCTAGCAGCAATTGCCATTTTAAAAATAAGGAGAAAACTGTTTTTATAATGTCATTGCAGGCAGCAGTAAATTCAAATGGGGCTTTATTAATATTAATGTCTTGAAATTAAAATTAAAATTAGATTTATTTTAACTGATACATAAAAATTAAAGATATTTATGGAGTACCATGTACATTTTGATAGCAGATTATCTGCTTATTCAGACATTCATCAGTTTTTTTTGTACCTAAAATTTAAATGTTTTCTGCTAGGTTTTAAAGATATACAACACATAATCATTATCTATAATTACTTCTGGACATTTGCACAAAGAAGTCTCACTGACATCGAATTAGAGCTTCGTCCTGTTGATCAACCTCTCCTTATCCCTCCTACCCTCTACTAACCCAGACTCTACTGACCACCACTCTACTCTCAACTCGGACATGAGTTTTGTAGATTCCGTACCTAGATAAGACCATGTGGTACTTTTCTTTACGTTTTTGATTATTCTGCTTGACATGGATGAACCTCTAGTAACACCCACAGTGCTGCACATGATAGAATTTCCTTTGTATGGGCGAATGATATTCACCCAGGGTGGGGGCAGGGTCACGATTCTCACTCCACTCATCAGTTCTAGGCAGGCTGTAGCTTCGCCCTGCATCTGTTGTGAATAGTGCTACAGAGAACATGGAAGTCCAGACATCTCAACATGAAAATTTATTGATTTCGTTTCCAATAATGGAAGAGCTTGATCATGTAACAATTCATTTTTTTTCTTTTTGAGAACCCTTCCTAGTGTGTTACATTTCCTGTACAGCATGAACTGGTTCTATTCTCCACATCCACACATCTCTTGACTTTGGTACTTTTAATAGTAACTATTCTTCTGGGGTAAGAGGCTATCTTCTGGTGGTTTCTACGTGAATTTTTGTGATGATTAGTGGCGTTAAGCATTTTCTTTCTCATATATCTATTAGCTATTTTGTATACTTCCTTGAGGAATGTCTGTTTAGGTTTCTTACCCATAAAATTGAGTAGCTTATTTTTCTTGAGTTCTTAAGCTCTTATAGGTCTTGAAACGCTAAACCCTTCTCAGATGTGGAGTTTGCAAATATTTTCTTCTTCTCTGATGTTGGTCTCTTATATGGAATTGACGACTGTTTTCCTTCTGGGTTATCCAACTTCCCTGGCACAGCATTTTCTAACATCACCAACCGTTCCCAGGGTCTGGGTGTGTGTCCTTATCTCCTTAATTGAAAATCAGTTCTCTGTCGATATGTGAGTTTATCACAGTGTCTGTGTTCTGCTGTGCTGGTCTGTGCGTCTGTGTCTTGTAAATGCCATGCTGTTTTGATTAATTACTGCTCCATGGTACATTTTGAAGTCAGGAGATGCAGTGGCTTCTGACAAAGGATGAGGTTTTTCTGTTCAGACACATTTGGGTTCTCTCGTTAGTTCTGAGTAGGATGTCTTTGAAATTGTACAAACTCTTTGCCTCACTTTCAGGAGTTCAGTTATTTTAATGATTTGAATTCTTTGTATCTTTTCAACATGCATATCTTCTTTGATTTCTTTATTTGATAATTATTATTTTTTTTTTACTATATAGAGCTTTTGGGAGGCTGATAGCCATTTTTAGTGTAATTTCTTCTTCATTATCTTGTGACATGTTTATTCAAGTCCTTCCTTTTTAGGAGAGCTCACATTTTTCTCTATGTATGATTTTTGAAATTTCTACTAATCGAATGCCTTGGTTCTTTTTATTTGTTCACTATCTTGAATTATACCTTATTTTTAAGTGAAACTTTGGTGGCTATTTGTAGCTAGGAAGATTTGTTGCTATTGTAAATTAATTTGTGTTTTGAATCCTTGCTAAATTTTACAGAAGCAAAGTCTTCGACCGATTCTGGTAATTTTCCATGCACATAGTCATCACTCACACATCCTCTCTTGGCTAGTTGATGCCAACTTGACACAAGCTAGAGTCATCTGAAAGGAGGGAACCTTAATTGAGACAATGCCTCCAGAAGATATAATTCTTAGACATTATCTTAATTAGTGATTGATGGGGGAGAGATGAGCCATTTGTGGGTAGGGCCACCCCTGGGTAGGTTGTCCTGTGTTCTATAAGATAGCAGACTGAACAAGCCATGAAGAGTAGGCCAGTAAGCTGCGCCCATCCATGGCCTCTGTACCAGCTTCCTCCCTTTTTGATTTCTTGTTCTGACTTCCTTCAATGATGAACTATGATGTGGAAGTATAAGCCTAATAAGCCCTTCTGTCCCCCAGCTTGTTCTTGGTCATGGTGTTTCATCACAGCAATAGTAACCATAGTAACCATAGTAACCATCACTAAGACAAATGCATGGATTTTCTTTTCCAAATTTATATCTCATTTTAATTCTAAATAATAGGTAAAGAAGCTTCTTTTTTTCTCATTTTTGTATTTAAACATATTGTTTAATATGCCATTTAACAAATGCTGGCTATTAGTATGGGTAAGAAATATCTTATTTCTCTGATTATTTTTTCAATTTTTTATTATGAAAAGGAGATTGATGGTTGAAAAAAAACATTGTAAGTAAAGTGATCATCTGGCAGGCATGTAGATTGAGTTCTATCTCCAGAACCTACATAAAAATGCCAGATATTAGTGCATGGTTTTAGTCCCAGTGTGTGCTAGAAAAGTAGAGAGAGGGTTCCAACACGCACTGAAGATCAGCTGAGCCACCTAGCCTTGTGGACTGAACAACTACTAGATTCTTGACTTTCTTGGGTAGACAGCCATTGCCAGGCTAGCCGAACCACAACCTGTATGCTACTCTAAGAAAACCCCTTTCTTTATCTATGTATACACTCATTCTATCAGATCTGTTCCTCTAGAGAACACTGACTAAAACAAGCAGCATCTACTTCCATTTTAATATGCATATTTCACTTTATCATGTTTCTTGTCCAGCTTTTATTAAACTACATATTTTTTGTTAGCTTGAGGCTCATACTTATAAACATATGCTATAACAATTTATTCTAATCTCTTTAGTTATTTGCTAAAGCCAATATATGTTCTCATTTTAATGCCGGTTTAAAAGTGCTTTCAAATATATAGCTTAGCATAATTCTCTCTACCTTTCATAATCGTATTGTCTTATCTCCATTCTTTTTCATGTAGGTTTTTCTGAATTATTTAATATTTTATAGATGCAGAATTTACATAGTAATAAATTTTGTAGGTATTTCAGCTTTCCATATATTTTACAGCATACCTATGGATTCACTCTTCCATTTATTTTGGAAACTTTTGAAAATGTTTTCAGTTAGTCTTGATACAATAAAATTTCTAAGTATTGTGTACTTATCTTTTTCATTCTATTACTGTATAGCTAAGTTCTTGAATCTAGTTCTAACATCTTAGTAGTTTAAAAGCAAAACAATGCCTAGGAAAATATTGTTTACCTGCTAATGAACTAATAAGAACAGAAAAAAAGTTTATCATAAAATGATTGGAAGTTGTATTCCATAACAAAATAAAAGGTAACCAAATAGAATGGTACACACACACATGTGCACACACACATTCATAAGCTGATGAAATGCCATCTGTTAAAAAAGAATATTGGTATTACCAAAATAAGAATTACCTCTAAGTCAGGCATTGTGGCTCATGTCTGTAATCTCAGTGCTTGGAAGGCTAAGTCAGAGGATCAGCCTGGTCTACAAAATAAGATTTTGCCTCAATTAACCTATCTATTAACCCATCAATCAACAACTTCAATTTGGAAGACAAAAAAAGTCACTATGAGTATTATATGTAAGCAGTTACAACTTAAGAGTATTTATGCTCTGGGCCTGCAGGAGTCAGTGAGAAGGAACAAGTTGCAACTACATGCAGCACCAGACTTTCACACCTGCCCTTGGGTGAAGGATGCAGACACAAACAGACGGATAGAGAATGCAGTACTCACATCAACCCATAAACAAGGAAGCCTAGGCCATGGTGTCAGGTATAGGCTCACTGTGGCACATAGTGAGGCATAGTGGGATGTGAGGAATGGGCAGAAGTGTGAAGCAGGCTCTGTAGAGTTAGTCTTGTTAAATTTAATAAAATCTATGTTCTGTGTAGGTGTAGGCACCTGTTCAAATTCTTCATGCTCTATGGATTCTGTTTTCAACAACTGGGCCTCAATGTTAATTTGTGAAGAACAACCTATAGTCTTGGCAGCAGCCTGGATTGTTTAGAGATTCCCCTTGGCCAGCAACTCAATTAGAAGCAACCCAATAAAGTACAGGAAACTTCACTAGGTGACAAAGGATGAGCAACTGTGACACATTCTACCTGTTATTTGGCGATTTCATTTAGATTGCCTTCACATATGTATATATTTTAGGAAGTTTATACTGCATCAGATTTCCATAGTACCCTCAAATGCCTCTTGATTTTATGTCTCTCCTTGTATTCCCTTCCATAACCTCCTCTCCTCTCCCCTACACCAATTTATTCTCCCATTCCAGTCCCACTCCCTCCGATTCACCAACCCCTTTCTAGTCTATTTTTATTTCTTAACAAGATCTATTTATTCCTCAGTCCTTTACTCTATACCTACTCTCTATGGCGTTTTTGATATCTAGTTTGTAATATAATTTGAATATTTGTCCTCTATCTGATGTGTAGTTGAAAAATAAAACCAACCACCACCATTTTCCATTCTGTAGGCTGCCGCTGTATATGAATGAAGGTGTCATTTGCTGTGAAAAAACTTTGCTGCTCTGTATGAATGAAGGTGTCATTTGCTGATATGACATGAAGCTTAAAGTTTCATGAGGTCTCTTTGTAGTGTAATTTCATTTATATTTTAATAAATAAAGCTTTCCTGAAGATCAGAGAATAAAACAGCCCCATTGGTCAGCCTTACAGATCAGACAGTGGTAACACACACCTTTAGTCTCAGTAGCCGCATTAATTTGCTATAGAAATTGGCAGTGCATGCCTTTAATCTCAGTGGTGCATGCCTTTTATCCCAACCCTAGGGAGGATTATAAGACTGGAGGAGACAGCTCTCAGGCTCAGTATCATTTTGAGACTCCTGGAGGCAGGATTACTCTTTTTTGGACTGAGGTTTAGCCTGTGGCTGGCTGTTTTGCTTTTCTGACCTTCAGGTTGAACCCCAATATCTGACTTTGAGTTTTTATTAATCATGCTATTTCTCATTTATTAACTATTGGTTTCACTGCCCATGTTTATGACATTCTGTTCATAAAGTCTTTTCCTGTGCCATTGAATTCAAGGTCATTCCCCATTATAGATCCCCAACCCCCGTGTTCCAAAATTTTTGGTACCATAAATTATTCTGCACTCTACTAAAAAAGAGAAACTTACACATCACGTTAGCCACAATCCCT